ATATTATATATTATTATTATTATATATATATATATATATATATATATATATATATATATATATATATATATATATATATATATATATATATATATATATATATATATATATAAATGTATACATACCTGTAGGATTATTCATTTCAATTATATTATTGATGATGTTTAATCACAATTACTATAACAATAGATGTACAGTATACAAAGAGATTTACGCGTTTATTTTTGGTGGAAAAAAATAATAATTTTTGTTTTCATTTCAATATTTATTGAAAATTAATAAAAACAGACGAAATAAATTTTTCTTTGAAGAATTAAAAGATTTAATGCAAAATAAGGGATAAATTAAATTTTTGTTATAAAAAAATTTTTGAATTATTATCAATAAATTAAATTACAATGAAATTGTATGCATTGAAAAAGTGAAAACAAAAATTGGTGGAAAAATTTTTTTCAAATTAATTTTTACTTTCTTTGCCAATTCTTCGATGAATCTCATTATCAGTCAACATTTTTAATATAATTAAATTTTCTGATTCAATTTTTTCTTTCTCTTTTCGGAAAAGAATTTCCATTTTAAAAGTGCCGAAAAAAAATGAAAAAATCGTCCTATGTTTGCCATTGGGTGGATTTTTAAAAATTTTTTCCACAGTAATTTTTTTTTTGAAAAATATTCGAATTTTTCAATTTTAAATATAAATTTTCTTCATGGTTTAAAGGACAATAATTAATTAGTGTGTCAACTGTTGAACTTGATAGTCTTTGGCCTAGACCATTTTTAAAAATATATTACTTTTCATTATTCTCTTGGGAATATAGGCAACATACATCCTTTTTTCTTATTCATTTTCTTTCTGCATTGTATTTCCTTCACATGAAGAAACAAAACAATAGAAGAATTATCATGAATTCATTAATGAGTATTATGGTAAAGTAAAGTATAAAGAGATGCTCATCATGCCAAAGAAGCAGGAATACGGTAGAATGACAAATTTATGTTGACAAAAATCAATACTGCATCAACGATCAGTGATTTAAAAAAGAATGTAAAATTTTTGTTAGCTTTTTCTTTTGATTACATGTACTTTTCAATTTGTAAATCGTTACTGAAATTTCAAATTTAGGAGTAGATTTAACAAATAGTTCATTTCTTGAAGCAAATTTCAAATATATGTAAAGAAATAAATAAGTTTGTAAAATTCTTTAAAGATACATTTCATTTATTACTTTAACACCAATTTTAGAAAAATTTAAATGATTTTGAAGGTTTGTTAATTTAATTGATATTAGTTCGACATCAAATGATAGCTAATATATATTTATGTATATCAACATCCGAAATTGATAGCAATCAAAATTTATGGAAGTAAAATTCACCTTCTAAATGATAATCATTGAAACTATCAGACAATAAAAAGTTCTGGTGTTAAACTGATAAGTTTGGAATTTGCAAATTTTGATGTGTCCTATTTATGGAACACATTTAAACATATTTGCTAGTAAATTTTTGACAAATCATAAGAATATGCTTTATTAATTACTGAGAATTTAATTTTCAAATCAAATTAAAATGATTTTAAGTATTTGTTATTTTCATGAATTTCCTAAATCTTCAAATAATGAAGTTTTAATGTCAGTTCGATTTCAGATGTTTTATAATTTATCAGTTAAAAATTAAATTTTATTTTCTTCTCACAATTTGCTAAATTAACATATGTGTTTCATTTTTAATTTTTTCTTCATTACTTAAATTAAAATTCCGTGTTTAAATTAATACTTGTATTCAAGTATTCAATAATACTACAACCATAAAAAAAACTTTTTTTGAATCGATTTTTCATTTTCAGTTCTACGGTATCAAATTTTTCCATTGAAAGTATTTTATCCAGACGGGTATCGGTACCTTCACTACCACCTTTACCGTTAACAAATGATTTTGCTGTTGCTGCTGCCGCTGCTGCTACCGTTCCATGGCCTAGTATACCACCACACTTCTCATATCCTCGTTAGTTTTGATTTCATATTATCATTTCCAATATCATTAATTAATTATTAAGTGTTATGATATTATTAAGTATCCCTCTGGTACCATTTCGTTATGATGTATTCATTTTTGTATATGTCCTAGTTTGATAAATATAAATGATAGAGGCAAATTATAAAATGATAAACAAGATATAATGCCTTTTTGGGTGAAAATAGAAAATTAAATAAAAAGAACTTAACAAGCTTGACTTCTTATTATGTCTTTCAAATTAATTACATAAATGGTTAGCAATCTTTTAATATTACTTAATCATTAATTACCATTATGAATCCTATACGTTCAGCATTGGATGCTTACTAATACTACACCTACTCATAATACCTGCTTATAATCATACTCTAAATAATTACATCACATCATTAACCTTAAACGTGACCATTTTGTTTAATGCATCACTTAAATTGAAACTTAATAATACTATCACAAATAAATAATCAAAATATAAAATGAAGAAATGAAATTTCTCTTTTTTTTAAAAAAAATTTAAAACTCAGCATTTCAGATCCCGGTTTTCCCTATATCAATAATGGTTTTATTACGTCATTTCATCCGTTTCATTACGGTGGTAAACGAAAACGACGTCATCGAACAATTTTTAGCGAAGAACAATTGCAAATATTAGAAAATGCATTTCAAGGAACCCATTATCCGGATGTAATGTTACGTGAAAAACTTGCCGTACAATGTGACCTCAAAGAAGAACGGGTAGAGGTAAGAAAATTTTGGTTCAAAAATTTTCGTAAATTTTTTTTTCATTTAAAAATTTTTTTTCCCTTTAAACCATATTACACAATTTAAAATATTAATAGAAATTTCAAAATTTTTGTTATTAATTATTTTGATGTACTAGAACCTTTTTTTCTCTCTCTCTCTCACTCGCCCTCTTCTAATTTCAATCTCTTTACATTTATCATATGTATTTTTGAGCAAATTTTTATATTTTTTATAAATGACACTTTTTGAATAACCTGACATTTTGGTTAATTAGTTGTTCATTTAATTATAATTTTAAATTGTCTCAACAAAAATATATGGAATAATTTATTTCCAAATTTTAGTAATGATATATACTATCATGTTAAATAGTTTCCTAAACTTTGAACAGTTTTTAAGTAAATATTCAAATTTAGCTACAATTTTTTTCCGTTGTTTTCGATTAATTTTCAATACAAATCAATTGAAAACAATAATTTTATGTTAATGAATAAAAATTTGATATCGCTATTAAATGATATAATCGAATTTATCCAATCTTTTATTATTATCTCCCATTGAAATATTTCAAAACAAACAAATATTTTGTTTAATTTTCTAGCATAAATTGAATTGTTGATAAAGATTATTGATTGATTTGCTAATAAAAATAATTGATGAAACTTTATGAGGGAAAAAAACATTGTAAGAGATTTGCTAGAAAGCTATAGAATAGCAGTAAAGTGTAATAACAATAATTAATAATAATAATAATAACAATAATAATAATAATAATAATAATAATAATAATAATAATAATAATAATAATAATAATAATAATAATAATAATAATAATAATAATAATAATAATAATATAATAATAATAATATATAATAATAATAATAAT